TAACACTGGAAATAAAATCAATATACTTACCTCGTAAAATCAATCTTTTTTTCACAAAAACACAAATCTCCACTCTGCGGCCGGCAAGCGACGCGGCCTCCTGCTTTAGTATTTGCCGCGCACTAAATCAAGATGGCGAAATGCCACTACGGTGGTGTGATGACAGTCGAATGAATAATTTAGAAGTAGTGGGGAGTATTCGCTTTGCCTGGGGTGTTCACTTTGCCCGGCCTTTCCCTACCCTGCGGGGAGACTGATGCTTGAAAAAACATAAATATTATTTTCTCTTTCACGCGCATCGACTGTCGAAATGAGAATTAGTAAAAAGAAGTAGAATTGCCTGAAAAATCGTTTTCATAAAACGCAACCCCTTCAGCGGGGTGTTGATATTTCAGTTTGAATATATATAAGTCTTACCCTGTTAGTGAGTCAGTTAATCAAAAATGGAAACACAATCACGAAAATTCTCAACGCCCAAAATGAACTCATAGCAACAGTTAAACCCTCAGGAAAGGTATACAGGTTGAATTATCAGAAAACATAAAGAAAAGAGAAACCAATTTTGTTGTCGTAGGAATCTGCTTCAGCTACTTCAGCTGTTTGGCATCGTCGCCTGGGTCATGTAAACTACAGAGATTTGAAAGCAATGAGAAATTGTTGAAAAGGCATAGATTTCAAAGGAGAATGTACAGAGTATACTTTTTGTCAGGTATGCTGTGAAGGTAGCCACAGATTTATTAGAAATAATACATGGTGATTTATGTGGATCCATGGAATCTTCGTCTATTGGTGGTTCAAGATATTTTTTATATGGAAGATTATTTATTACAGTAGGATGAGCGTTGTCGCTGAAGTGGGATAAAAATTCCAAAAGGATGTATCTGGTTGGATATGGAGACAGCGTGAAGGGTTGCAAATTATATGATCCCATCACACAGAATCGTGATAGTAGGAACGTCATTGTAAAGGAGTATCAGAAAAATTCTTCAAACAAGATAGATATTTTGTTCAGCAATGAATTGAAGGCATATACATTGTAAGTGGGAGATCTAGATGAAGAACGAGTTGAAGAGACAGACCTGATAGATGTAAGTACAGGTACAGAGTCATTTCCTTCCAGCAGAGATAGTGAATACATTCCAGGAGGAATATCTGAAAGTACGTCGAATTCCTATGAGATTATCAACGCAAAAAAAAGAAAAAGTTTTTAAAGGATATATTACTTACCTGAGTACTTGTGAAATCAGACCTGATGGTAACAAATTAAAGAAGGCCATGGAAGAGGAATGCAGAACTTCCCAAGAGAATGCATCTTGGGAAATATGATGGAATTGGCCGATACTTGATGAAAATCCATAAATAACGTATTTAAGAAACACTTCATTGTGAGATTTTCACCAAACAGTTTCACAAAAACTCAACACATATTTTGCCCTACAGTGGCTTCTTCGGGCGTGTCTTTACTAGTTAGTTAACAAAGACACGCCTGAAGATGCCATTGTATGGCAAACCACGTGTTGCGTTTGTGTAAAACACAATAAAGTGTTTTTTGAATACGTTAGCATCTTGAGAAATTGTGGAACCCCCGAAGGACGGTAGGTACAGTCGTCCAATGCAATGTAATCCAATGCAATAATCATAAAGAAGGTTTAGATCCACAAACCTTTTCACCATTAGTAAGACACGGTAACCATAGA